TCTTCAGTCACTCTTCATCAACCCAGAAATTTCTCTCTTTGTTCATCATCTCTCCTCAATTCGACCACAACATTCTATGGAGACCACCACCGTCGCCGGAAGTCACTGCTGTTGTCCCCTTGCTTGTGGCCGCCTCCATTTTCTCTTTCTTCCTCGTCTTGTTGTTTCGTCATTGCCGGTGAAGCACATATTTGAAGGTTTTTTAGAGTTTGATGGTTAAATTTGACCAATTAAAGCTTTAATTGATGATATATAGAGAAGGCATTAGTTCTAAGTTCGTGAATTATTGTGGGTTCGTGGGTTGTGGGTTGAGGGATTCTGGGTTCTGGGTTCGTGGGGCGTGGATTTTGGGGTTGTGGGTGGTGGTGGGTGTGGTTGTTCGAGCTGTTGGGTTGTGGTTGTTCGTGCTACTGGGTTGTGGTGGGTTCAGTGTTTCGTGTTGCTGGGTGGTTAGTGGGTTCGCGCTGCTAGGTGGTGGTATTGGATGGTTTCGTGGTGCTAGATGGTGGTGTTGGGTGGTTTCGTGGTGCTAGGTGGTGGTGGTGGTTCGTGAATTCAAGTTGCTAGGTTGTGAACTTTGATTTAATTTGTTGTTTTTTTTTTTTTGAGTTTGACTATTACTTACGTCAATGCTTTTATTTTTCATTAATCATGCTTTTAATATTTTGCCTAGGAGTCCGCAATCCTTTAGTTTGTTGCGAGTAATTTGTAACGGAGGGAATATGTTTTTAAGGAAAGTAGATATAGATCTGCGCACAACTGTTAATTGCTTATTTTAGAACTGAATTAGTTTGCCTCGCTAATTATATACATTCTATATTTGTCTACTCACAATAACTTTTCCTACGACATTCATCTCAAAAGAAAAAGTAGGATCTTCCCTTTCACCGTAGTTGTACAAAATAAGGTAGAGCGGAAGAGTGAGTCATTTCGGACCGACGTGGAAAGGAGAGGTGATATATTCAGGTTGAAAGAAACAATCACATGAATGTATGTAATGTAAGAAAAAAGGTGTCAAGTTTAAAAGTTTTATACGGAGTATCGATCTAGCTAATCAACCGGAAAATGTTCTAAACCTTTAACGTCGGCACGAGGCCGGACCCAAGCTCTATATGAGGTATATAAGCACAATGCTAATTTGCTTTTTGCCTGCTAGATCTCCATCGTCTTTCAATCGGGTCATGGTAAAGCACAACTTGCTTATAAGACTTGGCAACTACCTCCTTTACATTGATAGATTGTAGGGCGTGGGAGCTTCACTCAAGGCTTTTTCTTTGGTATCACTTCATTGTCTAATTGTCTTCCTAGATCCTACTAGCATGCATAATTTAGATGTTTGGATAATTTTGTCGTTTACTGATTCAACTTCAAAGTATAAAGAGTAACATAGTACTATTTTGATTTTTAGTGAAAACTTATGCCTATGATGAATTAATAGAAAAAAGATATATTGTGATTTGCCTCTACCTTCATGTATGATTGCTTAAAATCATGATTAAGAATTTTGTTGGAAAAGAGATTACTTCCTATGTATAGAGTTTTAGTCCACAACTAACCAATACAAACAACATTTAGATCATAACAATCAATTTCAAGTAACTAGGCATAGAGACACACTTGGAGTCTAGGAGAAGTAGATTTTCTCCTTTTTAATTCGGCTCTCTAACTATTGATGAGTACGTCTTGCTTGAAAATAAAATAGCTTTGTAAGAGAGATCAAATAAAAAAAAGAAAAAGAAAAAAGTGGATGAGAATAGACAAAATGTGGAAGGATTAAGAAGCAAGGTTCTTCCAATGGGAAAGTGTTAAAAATGTTGAGTAAGAGGGTTGGGGTAAGGAAATACTCCGCAGTAAATAGAGGGGTAAGAATCAAGTCAACCAATATGAAACACTCCAAATAAAAAGGGCAATTGTACTCTTACTATTGGTGTGCCAAAATCAATTTTTAGTGTGCTTAAATCGACCACTTTCTCATTTGTTAGATAATGATTGTGTATTAATTGTTGACAGTCTTAATAAGGAGTGATCGATAACAAGCTTTTAAGCTCAAACTTAACTGAAATTGTTTTGCTTATCTCATATTCCTTACATCCCTTACATAAGTTAGATAGGTTGTCGTACACCTGTCAAAAATAAAATCCTAACAAAATTTCCTAACAATGTAGTAGGGTAAGTAGGGTCGAATCCACAGGAAGATGGTATTCAATCTAACATTTAAGGATTGGAGAAACTAAATTATGTCACGAGTAGGGATTGAAAGGTAGTCTAAATTAAAAAGGAATAAAACAATTAAGAAAAAGACCAAGGGTTATGGTTCACCATGTTATAGTTCTAAATCTATCAAAAAAGTATCAATAACAATTCAATCAATCAATTATCTAGAGCAATTGCTAAGCCTACGGTCGAGTCTTAACGCTCTCAATTCAACATTTATGTAGTTCGATCGCCAACATAATCAGAATAAGCTAATTGTAAGCAAGCCTCTAAAAGTAAGATCTTTCGATTCAAACTCTTATTAACAATAATTAATCAGGTTCCATGATTAACAATAAAACACTATCACTTAGAGAAATCAATAATCAAAGTGTCAATAAAATCAATCAAGATTTATTATATAACATGGATTCCCAAACCCTATGTATAAAACTACTCAAACATGAAATAAATAATTAAAACTAGATTTAAGAAATAAAACATAATTAAAAACAATAAATACAAATAAAAAAATACCTCAATGAATTAAAGCAACAAACTCAAGGACAAATCCATGGAGTTTTCCATGAGAAACTAGGGCTAGAGAGAAAAGTAAAAAGAACGTAACAAATAATTATAGGCGTAAAAGGCATAAGGGGAAAATAATATCCCATATAGTATTTATTAACTTCCTAAATTCTAATCTAAATAAATAAAGAAAAGTAATAGGAAAATAAAGATTACATAAGTTGAATTATTATTGGACGATAAAAGATGACGTGGCATAAAACCGCAAGCGAGGTCGAGGACACGAGCTACTCATGGGCTGCTTTTGGCTGCTCGCCAGAACCTGCGGCTGGCAGCTGAATCAGCTAGCTTCGAGTGGCCGCAGGACAGACCCGCAGGGCTGGCCACGAGTGCTGCACTTCATCGCTGACCGCATAGCTCAGATTAAAATGCCTATAACTTCTGTTCCAGAAGGCTTCTTAGGCCCTGTGACCTATCGTTGGAAAGCTTTTCAAGTCTAGTTTTCAACGCAACTTGAATCACTTCAATCCAATCTGTAGAACTGAAGTTATGATTAAAATAGTGAGGACACTTCGTAAACCATCGCTTTTCTTCGTTTTAAACTCAAATTCATTTCCGAAAGATGTATAGTGACCATTGTGAATGCTATTTTCATTCCTCATGCACATAATAATCAAAATCAACATCCACAAACATGGGATCTTCGATTAATAAACTCAATTCATCGGCTTCTATCTAAATATCATCCAAATCAACTCCAAATACTTCGAAAGCGTCCAAATGACTATAAAATCACCTGAAACATTAAGAAAAACACAAACAGAGTGTAAAAGAGTACAAAACAAACAACTTATGCATTTACGACCTAAAAAGCGACAAAAGCCTCAAAAAACAACTATAAAACTAGCATAAACGTGCCTATAAATCCTATATAAGTGTGATTCATCAAAGTTACATCCAAGCCCAAGCCTTTTAGGATCATAGTTCTCAAGTTTAACTAAACTTAAATTTGACTTGAATTCAAAAAATTTAATTACAAATTGTTAATTCCATTCATTGCTCGGGTTGTATGAGTTTGTAAAATGTTGTTATTGTTATTTTTTTTTTGTCATAATGAGAAAAAACATTAAGATGTTTAGGAATTTTAAGCTCTCCCTAGTCCCTACATAATAAATTTATCCAAGAGTTGTATTTAAAGGGTTGATTTCATTAACTTGATTTTTAACTCTAAGCATCAAACTCTATTTTTGTCCAATTATACTCTTTTTGTAAACATTGTTTTGGAACACATAACACGTCGCGTATATGTGGCTCTCTCTATGGTCTTAAATTTTTCATCTTTAAATAGAATATTAAATTAATTGCTAAAACTATGAAATAATCAAATCGAAATCCCCACTTAATCAAGGAAAAAACATACAAAATCTATAAAAATTCGAGATTTGTCATTATGTACTCGAAAAAAAAACCCTTAAGGTTTAGAGTTTTTAAAAAGCACAAAATATCTTTGAAAATCCAACGATATTTCCCGCTATCAAATCAGAAGAAATTACACGCAAATATCATCGGAGATCTAATTGAAACTCCAACTATTAAATCAAGATTTGTTAAGCATCATATCACAGAAGATCCTATCAAAAAATTCATCATATAAATCATTAAAAAAAAAAAATTACACAAAATATCACCAAAGATCTATGTCACTATTTACAAGGTTAAGTAAAATTACTAAAATCCAAGACAACTTCAAGGCTAAAAAATGAAAATCAAAAAAAAAAATGTTGTCAAAAAAGTTAAAAATAGCCTTTTTGTGTAAAATATTCCTATAAAAACATCCAAAAAAGAACACAAAACTTCAGGTGACCGAAGCGAGAGGTTCGGAAGCAGCTTTTTGTGGGATATTACCAACAACTTCAGAGAGAGGAAAAAAAAAACAAAAAATTGAAGAAAAAAGTAGTAGTAAGAACGTTCAACAATGGCGATTAATATTAATGTTTAGCAAAATATTAAAATAAAAATATTGAATTTTTAAACAATAAAAACTAAGGGGGGAAAATAATTTTTTAAAATTATCAACACCATCTGCTTATTTTTTCCCCTTCTTATATCTTCTCCTCCATTTCCGCTGTCTCTCTCATTGAATTCTTCAAAATTTTAATTGATTCTATTAAAAGAGTTTCTTTATTTCTTGTGGAATTTATCTGGGTTTGTTTTAATTTTTGAAATGATCATCAATAAAGTTCAGAAATCAACTAAAATTCTTGGATTCTGAAAAACCTGCAAAATTTTAGTTTTTTTTTTGTTTTTCCATCTTCAACGGTCATATTTCCTGGTTTTTTGCCTGATAGTGTCAATGGAATCAGAGGGAATGTTGCCATTTTCGGTGGTTTCTGTTGTTGAAGATGTTCTTAGACAGCATGGAACTCGATTGAGCGACATCGATTTCGCTTCAAGAAAAGCAGAGGAAGCTTGTATGATTTCATTCCTCATTCTTGATTACACATACTCATATTTTTTTTGGGTTTATTACCATCATATATTATGATTGATAATAATGTAGGTTGAATTTTATGATTGATTATGGTGAAGGATTGTAATTTATTACCTGATTAGCTAAAACTATTGATTTATTGCTGGGATTATCATATTACGCCTGTTAAATGAGAGATAATCACAATTTAGATGAATTTGGATTAAAATGCATATGTTTTGATCATTTTTTGTTAATTATTATTATATATGTTTTTGGGTGGGGGGTTGATGTTGGGTTTTAAATTGGACCTTCCTTGTGATATTATGATTAAGGATTATGTTTAGGACTCATAAGGGGAACTAAATTTTGTAGCATCGAGACGATATGAGGCGGCGAGGTGGTTAAGGAAGATAGTGGGGGTTGTATGTTCAAAAGATTTGCCAGCTGAGCCATCTGAAGAAGATTTCAGACTTGGTTTGAGAAGTGGGATAGTCCTTTGTACAGCAATCAACCGGGTTCAACCTGGTGTTGTTCCAAAGGTATTTATTATTCACTAATTCTTTGTTATACTTCGTGTTAAATATTTCTGAATTACTTGTATGTTATGTTTATGTTACATGCACACATTACATGTTTTCTGGTATTTCTAGGTGGTAGAAGCTCCAAATGATACCGTGATCATCCCTGATGGCGCGGCTTTAATGGCCTACCAATACTTTGAAAATGTGAGAAACTTCCTGGTTGCTGTAGAAGAGTTGGGACTTCCTACTTTTGAGGCATCAGATTTAGAACAGGTTAGTCTCTCAACCATACTTGGGAGTTGAAATAAATCGTATTTCTCAATATTAAGTCTTATGCAATAAAATCGAAATGACTCAGGAGATTTTCAGATATAGAATTTGCCCCTCTTAAGCTCTACTGTATAGAGATTGACACATAGAATTTGATTATAGATGATGCATGCCTTTTTTAAATGAAAAATTTGCTTGCTAGTCTACTAATATTTACTTTTGGTTTAAAAATATAATGGCCAGGGTGGTAAAACAGGAAGGATTGTGAGTTGTGTTCTTGCTTTGAAATCTTTTAGTGAGTGGAAGATGGCAGGAGGTAACGGAACATGGAAATATTCAGGAAATTTCAAAACACCCAGCTCTACTAGCTCTACTGGCAAAACTGTTGTTAGAAAGAATTCAGAACCCTTCATGAATTCAATTTCAAGGACTTCATCTATAAGTGAGAAGTCTCTAGACACCGAACACTGCAGTGATGTTGGTTTAGATTTAAGTGACACGGTCAGTACTTGCATCTGATTGTTTGTTTGGTATTTATTATGAAGGAAGAAGCAAATCTAAAAACATTCAATTTTATCAACAGAGCAACAGTCGTTCCTTAAACATGATGATTCGTGCACTTCTAATTGATAAGAAGCAAGAAGAAATTCCAAATGTAAGTTTTCTTTGAGCTAACTCAAGCATTTTGATGGGACTAAAGATGAGCAGCCTAAATATTCTCAAAATCAGTGTTGATAGAGATCAAGATCTCAAACATTTGACTGATGTTCTTTACTGATTTCAAACTCCTGCTAGTCCTGTGATTGCATCAAATATTCCTGTCATTTGTAATTATTTGATCTCCTACTGATTTCAGATTGTTGAATCCATGCTCAGTAAAGTCATGGAAGAGTTTGAATGCCGCTTAGCAAGTCAAGCTGAATCTGTAAGTAGCTCGTAGCTGTTTGCTGCAGTGTACTAGACTATAGTCTAATAGTAGTGTTATTGCAAAGCCTCTCCTTCCCTGAAAATCTTATTCTGTTGAATAGAGACCTACTATTTGGTTATAAGATAACATCACTTGGTTTCACTGTTTCATTTTGTTAAAATTCAATATACTGAAATAGTGAAATGTTTAGTTGTATAAAACTAGACAAATTAAGATCACAATAAAGTTTTATCCTTTGCAGGAGAAAGCTGCTCCGGAAGCAATGTCAGTTTCTGGACAAAACACATCTCCTGCTGAGTCCCCCAAGACAAAAATACAGGTAAACTATAAATTGGAATACAGTTTGATGACCCTGATCTTGAGTTGCTGAAAATCTCCTCATACATTTATAAATATTTTGAAGAATCATGATGGCAATGTCACCGACAACAATAATGAGCCAGAGCAAGTCAGTGAAAGTGAAGAGATTCGGAGCTGTGTCCCATGTGCAGCGCCTAAAAGCAGCTTCAGGAAGCATGATGAACATTTTGAGAGGCAGGAGAGTAATATCCAGGTAACTGAAAGCAATATGTTTCATTGAAGCCTTTTGCTGTAAAAAAAAAAAAAAAAAATACATGTTTTTAATCAGTGTTGCTGATTTTTTTTTTTTTTTTTTTTTATAGGATTTAAAACAAACTGTCCACAGTACAAAAGAAAGCATGAGGTCATTGCAAATGAGATATCATGAAGAGTTCAGCAATCTAGGTACAATTACTGATATTTTCTGTGATGAACGTGTTAACTGTTAAGCAACTAATTGACTCCCTAAGAACATAATCTTTGTATCCTAACAAATTGTTTTGATAGGTAAGCACCTCCAGAGTCTTACTCATGCTGCCTCAGGATACCAGAGAGTTCTTCAAGAAAACCGCAAGCTGTACAACCTAGTGCAAGACCTGAAAGGTATGATGGACATGAGAAAAAGTCTAGCCTGATCTCCCTATTTCTAATGAGTTCTGATTAAGAAAAACTTTTTTTCCCTTTGAACATAGGGAACATCAGGGTGTATTGTCGAGTGCGTCCATTCCTTCCTGGGCAAGCTAATGGTTTTACCACTGTGGATCACATTGAAGAAGGGAACATTACTCTTATGAACCCAGCAAAATATTGTAAAGACGGGAAGAAATCCTTTAATTTTAACAAGGTTTTTGGACCTGATTCAACACAAGGTTAGTTGCGTTACCATTTGATATTTCTGATTATAATCCTAAACATTTAGGAATTGATCTCAGCATCATGTTCTTACATCTTACTGCAGCTGAGGTGTATACGGACATGCAGCCTCTTATTCAGTCTTGTCTTGATGGTTACAATGTCTGCATCTTTGCATATGGGCAAACCGGATCTGGAAAGACTTACACAATGGTGAATGCTAAATTGATTCAATCATTCAACTGATGGTTTTCTATTATAGTCTTACTAATGCTGAACTTCTGCTATTATACAGAGTGGACCAGACAATCTCACAGAAGAAACATATGGTGTGAACTACCGAGCTTTGAATGATTTGTTCTGTCTAGCGGAAGAAAGAAAAGCCACTTTCACTTACGAGGTTTCTGTTCAGATGATGGAGATATATAATGAGCAAGTCAGAGATCTCCTAGCTACTGATGGATCAAACAAGAAATATCCTTTCCTTGTCTTTCTTTTACGTCTTGTTTTCTCTTTTCAATTTATGATGATTTCATCTGCTAAATGTCTGCTGTCATTACACATCTATGTTATTCCTTAATTCTAAAATTACGTTAGAGATTCGTAACAGTTCTCAGAATGGGATAAATGTACCAGATGCAAGTAGGTTGCCAGTCTCAACAACAGCTGATGTAATCAGCTTGATGAATCTTGGTCATAAGAATCGCGCAGTGAGCTCAACAGCTATGAATGACCGAAGCAGTCGCTCTCACAGGTAAACTTGCTATTACATATTCACACTCTAAAATTAACATTACAATTTCAAACAACTCTTAAAATGTATGCTTTCAGTTGCATGACAGTCCATGTCCAAGGGAAAGACTTGGCATCAGGAGCTGCTCTACGAGGTTGTATGCATCTTGTTGACCTAGCTGGAAGTGAAAGGGTTGACAAATCTGAGGTGACAGGGGATCGATTGAAGGAAGCACAGCATATCAACAAGTCCCTTGCTGCATTAGGAGATGTAATTGCTTCACTTTCTACGAAGAATGCACATGTTCCCTACAGAAACAGTAAACTCACGCAATTGCTCCAGGACTCCCTAGGTAAATTTGTTTCGTTCTTTTTACCTTATGAGTTCAAATAAGTTCAAATGAGACTTGATTTCATACAAATTAAGTTTTGGTTAGCTCGAATAAGTTTACATAAATTCAGATAATGGTTTCAGGTCAAATGAACCTAGCCTAGTGGGGCTCACTGCTTAAAGAGGCTTAAATCTCCTGTTTCATATTTTTCTGTAAAATCTGAAGTCCTGTAATTTTATTTCAACAGGAGGACAAGCGAAAACATTGATGTTTGTTCACATAAGTCCAGAGGCAGATGCCCTTTCAGAGACAATCAGTACACTTAAATTTGCTGAGCGTGTATCTACTGTGGAGCTTGGTGCTGCTCGGGCAAACAAAGAAACTGCAGATACAAAAGATTTAAAAGAGCAGGTTTTTACAGTTCCCTTGTCCTCTTGATTTTCTTCCAGTTAACTTGCAGTCTCTGAATCGACAGTTGAAGCATTATATTATTTTGTGTAAGGTTTCCAATCTCAAAGCAGCTTTAGCCAGGAAGGAAGAAGAAATGGAGCACCTTACTCGTTCAGTAACAAGCACTCCAGAAACAACAAACGTTAGGTCTACTGCTTCTTCACCTACTCGTCCATCCTCTCGTTCAAGAGACGTTTCAGGTGGTCGGAAGAGTCCAGTGCAGGATGTTAGTAACACCAAGGTAGGTTACTTTTTTCTACACACCACCAAGGCAACAACAATAACATTGTATCAGCAACTTTTTTAACCTATTATAACACATTTGAAACATAAAGCAATAGCATTGTTAATCATAAATGATTCTTTGATAAGGAATTACAGCTGATTAATTGAATTTTGTGGTTTGAAGGTGAAAAACAACTCATTGAAGCCACGAAGGAGAAGCTTGGATCCAAATGATCTGTTATCAAATAATTCCCTCTGGCCACCCCTTATTGTCAACAAAGCAGAACAGAAGAATCTGACTGCAGGGGATTGGATGGAGAAGGTGATGATGAAGCAAAGTAAAGTAGATAGAAGTAGGTCTGTAGAAAACTTAGTGGATGAAAACATGAAGCCTTCTGAGAACTGTCATCCTGATGATAGCAGCACTTTGAAGCAACCTTACGATATCTTGGTAACCGACAAAAAGGATTGCCAAGATAGCGACTCACAGCTTAGTATGTGTGAATTGCTTACTCCTGACAGCATTGATGAGCTTGAGATAGCAACCAGTGACTCTTCTGAGCAAGACTTTCAAGTTCTTCTTCCAAGAACAGCAAGTTTGCCTAATGTTATAGGATCAAAAATCAAGAAACCTACCCCAGTAAAGGCATCTAAAAGCCCAGAAAAGAGGTATCTTAACAATTCCTCATTGTTATATTCTTTCATTTGTAACAATTTTCATTGATGCAGTCCTTAGAAAACTTGATACAGTTTTGTCTTTACAAATCTAATGTCCTTTTTCCATGAGCAGGAGTTTGATCCCTATGCCACCCATGAGGAGATTATCGAATGGGTTGAATACACCGGCAATCAAGAATGGAAGACAGGCGGTGTATGTGAAGAGGAAATCAGGAAATGCAAAGTGATGAGTACTAGCTAATTCTGCTATGCATATATTATGTGATGATGGCTTGTCATCCTCCATATATTTTTTTTTAGTAGTTAGGCGAGGGAGGGTGAAGGAGTTGAGAAAAAGGCTTCTTTTTTATTTGATTTTGCAGTGCAAAAATGGCAACTATTTCAGTTACCTGATGCATGATTTTGGTGGTGATGGGTTCAAGTATATGCAGTCCTGCCAAATGGCCCAAATTGATGGTGATTGCCTTTTGTTGTGTTACATTGTGTATATGGGTGTTTGATTCAAATGGCCCTAAGCTAAGGTTTGATTTTGTTAGTTCTACCAAAGATGAAAATCGAGTAAGGTATATAAACTATATAGTACACATATCACATATATATGTCTTCTTGGATCAAAGATTTGATGCAATGAAAGTTAATGAAATTGTTGTACATTATATATTTTTTGATTGTGTTGTTTACTTCTTGGATCAAATTTATGTAATTTTTTTATGCCAGCTTGACTCAAATGAAGTATACCAACTTAATTAGCTAATACAAAATTCAAATTCAAGTTTGAATCTCTTGCCAAGGTGCTGGTTTAAAAAAAGTTGTATTTAATTGAATTTCTTTGAGTTCTTGTAACAAGGAAATTGAACACTTTATGAATGGTATCTTTAATTTTCTCGATATAAATGGCTAGAGTAGTTATTTGGTAGACTTTCTCAATGTATTGTAACTTAGGTTTTCCATAAAATTATTTCAAATTGGACGTAAAGAATTATTGATGACTCACTACAAAATGAACTGATCGATACTACCTTTGTTTTTCTTAAAGTTAGAGTTGGGATTAGGGACCATTAGAGGAGTGGGAAATGATAAAATAAAGTAGTGTGAGAAGAAGTGAAGACCATTGGAGGAATGGGAAATAATAAAGTAAGAGAATTTGTGTACATTAGTGGCTAAAGATATATTATTAAATTATACTTTGTAAGAGATTTTCAACAAAGAAAGTGTAGCTATTAAAAAAAAAAATAGACGAAAATAGGAAGTGTAGTTAAAAAAAAAAAAAAGGGAGTATAATGTAGAAAATCGTTTTGCGGTAAGTAAATTGGAGGATTACATGGAGACATGCATGGACAAGGGACATAATACAATTACGTCCACACCAATTTGCCAGCTGGGTTACATTACTTTACTGTCATACACTCATACTTCATACCCCTTAAATAAGAATGGAGTGGTTAAGTTAACCAATAAAATGATTACTTATTTACTTGGACTAATTTTTATTGTGTCCTATTCCGTCAATCACGTGACTCGCCTTTTTTCTAACTTGACTAATGACTACGTATTGTCATATTGCCAAATTCAATTCAATATTATCCAAAACATAAAATGAAATTGAAAATCTTACTATAACAATGTTAATACAACTACTCTGTATTAAGCATTACTCTTATAAAGTATTTCTCTAAAACATAGTTTAACCAAGTATGCTTAGTGAAGTTGGTGGAGAACTAACTTTGTGATCTGGAAACTGAAACTCCACCAACTATATATGTTTGGACCTCCACTCTCAAACGTTGACCTACAAAGTTGTGGATATATATGGGTTAGCTGTGAATATTTCCCATTGATATAAATATGAGTGACGGTTGCCAAAACAGAGAATTATTGATCCTTTTGATAATTGATAATGAATAGTGGTAATGAGAATGAATTTTTATGTAAATTAAGAAGGAAAATACACATTAAAAAAGTTTAATCTCATATCAATTGAAAGGAACTCGACCTTACTTAAATACAGAGTATATATTTAAATCGGATTCTAATAGACAATTGTTATTTTAAGATATTTTAAGATACATCATTGCCTTCATCTGGTAATATGAAGACTAGAACCTACGAAGTACTAGCCTTGCAATTTCCAACCAAATTTATTTTGGAGTAAATAATGTTTATATTAAGACAGAAGAGAAAATACTTCAAGAAATTGTATGGCAAACAACTATGACGGCAGGTTTTTGCCTTTTTTGGATTGATAATAAAACCCTCCCTTTTTGTTTATTTCATTGATCCTTCACCTAATTCTTTGCTAGCAATTGTTTGTGCCTTTTTTTTTCCTCCCCACCTAAATCTTAATTCTCCTTTATATTACTCTCTCTCTCTCTCTTTTTTTTTTTTTTCCATGGAGGGATTGTTACTTTCTTTTTTCTATTCTTGGTTGAAAAGATTTGTTGAGAGAGAAAAGTGGTGAGGCTTATAACTTAATAGTTGTTGTGAGATTAAAACAGGGTCTCTGAAGGACTAGTTCTGTTCAACTTGTTTCAAATACTTATTATTTATTACTTAATAATTTAGATCAGATTAGAACTTTTAATTATTATTTACTTATTGCTAAATATCGTTAATTGCATATTAATTTTTTTTATGAAAATTACATGTTTGAAAATTTCATAATGAGATGAATCTAACAAGATCCATTTTAATAATGTTTTTCTTTATAGATTAGTATTAAAATGCGGTTAAAGTTTAGTCAAATTATTAAATCAGATCAGATCGGACCAAATTATAAAAGTTCAGATCAGATCGGACCAAATTATAAAAATTCAGATTAAATCGGATCAGACCTTATTAAAATCAGATAAGATCTCCTTGTTTCAGGTGAAGAGAACTAGTTCGAAATATGATGTGGAGCAAACTTAAGAGGTATTTGTTTAGAATCAAACTTATAGGGTGTTTGGTTCACATATAAGGTATGTGTTTAGAATGGATTACCCGTACCTTATGTTTGTTTTCATGTTTTTAACAGTTTCAAACCCAACCCAAACTTCAAACCCCAAGGTATGAGCTGAGGTTTAGAAACCTAAAGGGGGAGGTGGATTTGGCTTATTCCCACACCTTTTTATTTTTTTTGGGGGGGGGGATCGGAGAAGTCCTAAGAGACACTATATATCATTAATTAAAGCCATACGACATCTACCATTGACAATCAAACGATAATGAACACAGATCTAACAAAATCAAACAAGAATTGATTGGGGAAGGGCTAAGAATCCATTACATAAATATAACAATTCGGCACATTCTCGATTCGTTGTCTCATACAACTTTTTGAATGGATCCATCACCGCTTCATTATTTTGTGAAAAAGAAAATTCTTGTGCTGATTTTGTAACTCGAATCCAAGCAATAATCAATCGTAGCCCTGCACAATTGGAGACCAAATTAAATGCAAATAACACCTTGTCTACCTTGTCTTTCGAAAGAGTTCGAAAAACCTTGTTTTTTGAAGGCAATCGAAAAGACCTTGTCTTTCGAAAGAGATTAAAAAAACCTTGTCTTTCGAAAGCGATCGAAAATACCTTGTCTTTCGAATGAGATAAACCCTTTCTTTCGAGGAAGACTTTATTATAACCTAAGAAACAAGAAAAAAAACTTATAGGAAACAAAGATTGGGGCTTCCACCGGTGAGATCCGATGGAAGCTTCGAAATTAACAATGGAGGCTAGAGTTTAGGAGAGATAAGATAGAGGAGGCTAGGGTTTTTATTATAATAGGTACTCTCCATGCCCACACTTTTAGATATCAAATATCAAATAAAATTATTCAAAAAAGAAAAGAATATCAAATAAAAAGAAAAAAATCATTCTACATTCATATCAAACATATGGTATTAAGAATCAAGTTCGAAACCCATATAATCATGCCAGTATGATTTCATTTTCAATTCTTAGATTCCTATCCTATGCCTATTTACGAATCGAACACCTCCTTAAACAATAAGCTAAAAAGTAAATGGGACATTTTTAACCCTTTCCCAAATTGCTAGTAGAAATATTCACGGAGTTGAGCATTACTTACTTTATTTCTATACATTTTGTTAGAATTTGGACATTTCCGAGGGTTTGATTGAGATTATTGTAATGGTCCATCCTAGAGCGAAGAGCATAAATTAGGGTGGACACTAGTTTTCACTAATTAAGAGTTAAAGGCAACAGACATTGACACATACTCTTACAATCGTACATCATAATTAAGCATTCTTAATAAACCAAAATACGTGGGGGTAATCGTAGTGAGTTTTGACACACAAAATAAGAATACTCCGTAAGGCTACGTTTAGCTCATTTATATTTTTCTTATTTGACTTGATTTGAACATTTTTTTTAATCAGATTCCATATGAACATATTAAACCTGATCTGATTTGATTGTGTGATTTAACTTGACTCTAAGTTTATATGTATGTTAATATAAAGAAAAATATATCATGCGGGGTCTTGTTAGATTCAAAATAATGTGCATTTTATTAATATGTAATTATCATAATTTTTTAATTACAAAATTTTCGATGTAATAACCATAAAAACCAGATTGAAATTGATAATGTATGATCAAAACTTTTTTTTTCCTTGATCTAAAACTTCCACTGTTTCCTAAGTGTGATTCTGTATTCACTTTTTGTTTTCATTTGTTTTTTAAAATTCTACTCACTTATATTTTATTCCTTTTATGAAAACCGTTTATTCTTTTTTAATTACATACAACCCCATCATGTGAGCCCCATTTTGTGTAATAAATTCCAATTCTATATCTCTCTACAATAACCGAGTAATACTTAGCAAAATAAAGAGAGTATAAAATAAGTAAAATATTTAAAAAATATAAATAAGATGAACTAAACATATACAAACTTCGTATCTGATTTTCGCGGTGGGGCATTTATATTGGAGAACAACAATGGATGATCCAAAGTTAGATTTAAACACATTAATAAAAATAATTAGCTGATTACAACTCATTAGGACACAAAAATGTCATAAATCAATTGACTTTTGCCCAAATAATCACCCATTAACCATTAACCCCACCCCACCCCACCTCAATATCCTCCCAACACCCGCGTCTTCTCCAACCCAACTTTCTCTCTCCTCACTTTCTCTCTCTACATTTTTTTTGGCTTCATCTCTACTTTCTCTCTCTATCTTGCCAATGTCGCACTTCCTCTTTCTCTCTCTTCAATATCTCAAATATTAGTTCCTGTAAATGCTACTTACTTCTCTTTCTCTCTCTTCGATCTGTAAGTTTTTTGTTTTGTTTTTTTTTTTTTTCAGAATTTGAAGAAGATACTCGAATGTTTTTTCCGCTGATTAAATGCTGTATATTGTTGTTTTGCTGTTGAATTTGAGATTAATATTTTGTGTTTTGGTTGTAATAGGAGGAATTAATTATTTTTTCCGATGTTTGCTTGATTTTAGGGGTAAAGGTAACTTTAATTTTGCCTACCTGCTTAATTAATTTCAATTTCAAAAGTTTATGGTTAGTGTTAAGCACATTATTCACTGTATTATTCGCCGTCATTTTGTAATTAATTTTTTAGGTTCATAATAGTGTAATGCAAATCGTAGTACTGCAAAAAATTGTTGCAAATTTTCTATTTTAGGAATTTAGACTGAAAAATTGTTCTGGTGAGTTTTTCTGTATCTGTCATTAGCTTATATGGAATATTTAGTTAATAGTGGAAATTCATTCAATATGTGCTGTTTATTGGACTAATTTGTGTTGATTGTATCGAAAATAGGAATTTTAGCTGAATTTGAAATGTACATTATTTTGTATAATCATCAGGGTTGTAAAACGGGAGCTGACAGATGTTGAAACTTAGTCTAAAATGAGCCAGACTGAAGTATCTAGAGCAAATTCTCCTCTTGTTCCGCTTGGGACACTGATCGGTCGTGAACTTAGGTCCGAGAAGGTTGAGAAACCGATAATTAGGTATGGACAAGCGGCTTTAGCCAAGAAAGGGGAGGATTATTTTCTTGTAAAGACAAACTGCCAGAGAATTCCTGGGAATCCTTCTACGTCTTTTTCGGTTTTTGCGGTAATCTGCTGCTCATTACTAGGATTATTACTAGTTACTGTGATTTTTTGCAGTTGATATGGATTTAGAGTTACTGAACTTTGGGTTTCTGGGTAGATATTTGATGGTCACAATGGCATATCAGCTGCTATATTTGCTAAGGATCACCTGTTGAACAATGTTCTGAGTGCCGTTCCTGAAGGTGCTAGTAGGGAAGAGTGGCTTCAGGCACTTCCTCGTGCCCTGGTCGCTGGGTTTGTCAAAACTGATATTGAGTTCCAGCAGAAAGGTTAATTTTGTAATGACTAATTGAGTAATTTTTCAGTTGTGCAGTATAAGACTGCACTGTTGGTATGTTTGTGCTGGCAATCTCATTCTTGTTCAATTATTAGGTGAAAGTTCAGGGACGACAGTTACTTTTGTCGTGGTAGATGGGTGGACTGTGACTGTTGCATCTGTTGGGGATTCCAGATGCATACTAGACACACAAGGCGGTGTTGTTTCTGACTTGACTGTGGATCATCGCTTGGAAGAAAATGAAGAAGAGAGGGCACGTGTGACAGCTAGTGGGGGTGAAGTTGGAAGGCTTAATGTCTTTGGGGGCAATGAGGTCTAACTTCTGGATGCTTTATTTTTGGTGACCATGTACTGGAGATTGTCAGCTAGAATATGCTCTTAATACCCCTGACAATGATATTCTCTGGAATTTTTCAGGTTGGTCCACTCCGCTGTTGGCCTGGAGGATTGTGCCTTTCTAGATCAATTGGTGATACGGATGTAGGAGAGTTTATTGTCCCTGTACCACATGTTAAACAAGTGAAAGTGAGTCTTTAGTGTGTTTTGAGTCCTCACTAATATCTTTATTTGAAATCTTCTTCAGAGAGAAATTAACGTTATGTGCTTTCAGCTCTCTGATGCTGGAGGAAGGCTTATTATTGCTTCTGATGGTATCTGGGATGCTTTATCGTCTGATGCTGCTGCAAAAGCTTGTCGAGGCCTTCCAGCTGACCTTGCCGCAAAGCTGGTTGTTAAGGTTACTTACTCCCTTTTTTTGGTTCAATTAACATATTTTGTTGACTTGTTAAGTTGTTATCAACTTAGCTTACATTGGGCTCTGTACAGGAAGCTTTAAGGTCAAGAGGTCTGAAGGATGATACAACCTGCGTAGTTGTTGACATTATTCCCTCTGTGCACCCCGTCTTGCCCCCAACACCACAAAAGAAGCATCATGGACTGAGTGGACTGCTGTTTGGAAAGAAATCTCATAATTTAGCAAGCAAATCATCTAAGCTTTCTGCCGTGGGAGCTGTGGAGGAGTTGTTTGAAGAGGGGTCTGCTATGCTTGCAGAAAGGTTTATCCTTCTTACCCTTCTTTTTCTGCTTTCTGAATATTTTCACTAGCTGATTTGAATATTTTGCTGGAGCTACCACATATAATGACAACACCTAGGGGTTAGAGGGGTGGGTAGAATTTCCATTCCATTGAATTTGCCTATCTTATGTTAATTTTCTGCTATGGTTGTTATGAACTCTTCCATCAAACAAAACAGTTGGGTGCTGCATTTTGATTTGTAGTCCTAACCTACGAGGACAACATTGTAATTGTGGCACATGAGTTTTAGGAGAAATTGTAGTGCCACAACGTTTGTTATGTAATGCCTTTTAATAGGCCCCGTAGGATTAGTGCAATTCTGTGGTTTTTACAATATTTCCATTAAACAAGATTGAAGATGCATTAATTAGTTTTCAAATATGCTTGAATATTATGATAGTTTTAATCAAGTAGTTCTAGCTTCATTGCTTTTCTTTTGGATAGATTAAGATTGAACTTTTGGCCAACTAAAGTGATGATAGGCTCTGAAGTTCCGGATAAGTGAAAAGATGAACATACCTGTTAGGGTTACCCTGTCCCGACGCAAAAGGCATGAAATTGACTTGAATCAGCTCTTGCTACTGAAAGTTGTATCATTTTCTACAGTTATCCAAGACAATTGACATCACGCATCATTGTGTACTGCTTTATCATATTGGTTTGAAATTGCATGTCTACAGAAAAAAGCCCTTCCACCACTATAAATAATTAGGGGAAGTGATTTTACATTCTGGTCAAATTTTATAGGACATTTTTGAAGTGGGCATTTCCTTATCAACCCCCCCCCCCCTCAAAAATAAATAAAAATTCAAAGGCCTAGCTTGTAAGTTGTAACCCGTGCCGCGTTGACCTACGAGAGGCTCTGTCCTAGTAGTGCCTTCTCCTTGCCTTAAAAAATGAGCTTATACTTGAAAATGTGTCTTAATAAAAATATACTAATTCTGTTTACCTTGTCATTCTACAGGCTTGGGAAGGATTTTCCCATGAACCCTGATTCTGGCATTTTTAGATGTGCAATCTGTCAAGTAGATCATCCCGCAAATGAAGGTCTATCTCTTAATTCTGGGACTTTCTTTTCTCCTTCATCAAAGCCCTGGGAGGGACCCTTTCTTTGTGCCAACTGCCGTAGGAAGAAAGATGCCATGGAAGGAAAGAGGCCAATCAAGCCTACAATTTCAATCTAACAATTTATCTGGTAATATAATCAATTGTCTATATATTCTTTTTTGTATTTGAAGTGTGAGAATGCTTTTCATCTCTCTATCGTGTGTGTTGTAGATGTGTGTAAGAAGTAAGAGGGTGGAAGAAAGTTCAGTAGTTGATTTTCCCTAGAGTTTTTAAGCAGCTCTTATTAGCTATCAATTTATCCCTGGCTTTTGGAGTTCCTTACTAAAGACTAAGACTACTGTGTGATCTAGTATGCATTTAGATCAGTTGCTAACATCTTCTACATGTAATTAATCAGTGAATGATAGTGATTTGTTTTATGGTAATTAATTTCTTTGGCTTTTAGTTAGATGTTAGACTATTGATATTCAACAATGTCTATTTTTGAGAGTGAGGGATAGCTCAAGTGGCTAGAGTTTCCCTCCCGATTCCAGGAGATCTTGGGATCGATTCTCACCCTCGCCCTTGTAGCTCTCTAAACACCAAAAAAAAAAAAGTAATGTCTATTTTTTTCTTGACCTCTAAATCTAATGTTTGAGAGAGACGTGGTTAATATGCGAGCAAAAAGTTTTAGTGATCTGCTAACAAAGTAACAAAGGGTTTAATCAGTTGGATTTTCTTTATCACTATGGCTACATGTTGAGCATTGATATTACAATATGAAAGTGAGGCAAACTTCCAAATACTTTTGATGGTGTTTTCGGTTTTCAGTGGAACCAATTTAGGCGGCGAAATGACAGGTAGCTCTCTATGATTGTGATCTGTCTGATGTAGCTCTCTGTAGTCCATGCAGAATTGCCAGTAATTCACTTTGAGACGTGGAGACTGATAACTCTGCTCCTACTTTTAAGCTCCGTTCCATGCTTTGATGACCCGTCCAACTCTAGTGTTGTTGATATAACTATAAACAAATTTTTAATGATACAACTCGAGCCATCTGATTCATGACCGTTCACTCGTACATGATGTATAAATGAACTGAGGTGATGAATTTAGGGGATGATGGAAAGATCAAGTGGAGCGGATGAATGCAGTTTTTTTTTTTTGTTTTTCCAATCCATATAAGATCATTGTACTCTAATATGAAAATAGTTCTTTCCGCTACCGTCTGTCTGCTCTTGAGGTAAGAAGAAATGCTAGATGATACGGAGTAGCCATTTCTCCGTCCATCTTACTTCAAACAACTACACTTTCTATTAAATAATATTTCAACTATGGCTATGTAGCCTATGTTTAATTTACCTTATTAAATTCTTTAGATTTTATTAAACTTTATTCTTATTTGTACACTTTTTTTTTTTTTTTTTTTTGGGGGGGGGGGGGGGGGAACTATTGGTACACTCATTTGTTAGATAAAAATCTATCAAATGAAAATTTACTAAATGAAACCCATGTCATGCACAGTTTATTTGTATTTTTTTGCAACTTATATTTTTTTCATATGTTTGTGATAAAATTTGTTACTTTATTTATTCGTTGTACGTAGTATATCATTAATATTTTTATTTTATTTGTTTTAAAATAAATTGTGAATTTTCTCTCATTCATTATATATTAAGATGAATTTCCTAATTTAAAAGATAATATTTTATATTTAATTAATATAAACTTTAAAATCTCATTGGCCAATTTTACTTATGACATTTGATTTATTTAAGTCTAAAAGAAATTACAAATCACTTATTCAATTGGAATTAATGCCTATTTATAATAATAACAAATCATAACATGAAATCAATTCATAATAAAGTTAGTTGATCTTTACGACGAATAAATTATATTTTTATAAAATATTGTATGATATTCACTTGCCATATTATTATTATTTTTATCTAATCCAATTTTTTTTTATAAATATCAGTTGAACTTTAATTTCATTTTTTTTAAGTTTAATAGTATTTTATATATATATATATATACGAAATAAAATAAATTGTTTCTTTTCTCTTAGATAAAATTTTCAATTTAAAAAGATAGTATTTTATTTTTATAATAAATTTAAATTTTTTATAATCTTACGTGGCACTTTAAAAGAACAATCTTACGTGGAATAATCCTATACATAACGCTCTTAAAATAGCAATCTTACATAGTGCTCTAATATTTTTTTAAGAAATCAAAATCCGAGGTGATTCTCTAAAATCTTGGGAAAAAAAATCCCCTTTATATAATTGAACGTGATTTTTTTTTATTAGTATATTTTTATAAAATATTTTATTATAATCACTTGTCATATTTTCATTATTTTTTTTTATCTAATCTAATTTTTTTTTAAAATATCAATTGAACGTGAATTTCATTTTTTAAGTTTAATAGTATTTTTTTTATACATATACAAAATAAAATAAATTGTTTCTTGTCTTTTAGATAAAATTTTCAATTTAAAAAGATAGTATTTTATTTTTATAATAAATTTAAAATAAGATAGTATTTTATTTTTATAATAAATTTAAAATTTTATTTTAATCTTACATGGCGCTTTAAAATAACAATCTTACGTGGCATAATCTTATACGTAATGCTCTAAAAATACTAATCCTACATGTTGCTCTAATAATCTTTAAAAATTCAAAATCTTAGGTGGCTCTCTAAAATCTTGGAAATAAACTCTCCTTTATATATATACTAGTTTTGTGCTCGGGCGATGCCCAAATGGTTGATAAAGTTTTAAGATAACATTTTTACTTGAATGTTAAATACCAAATTATTTGTTAGAATAATGTAGGATATTTAAACATACGATATCATATGGAGTATACTTTGTGTAGTCTTGTTTGTAAATAATAGATATTTATGTTATTATTGACTTAAAATTATTCTTATTGAACTTAAAATATTTTCACTGAATTGAAAGTATTTTACCAAACTAAAAATATTTTTGATTAAAACTTATTTTACTGGTTCTCTAATATTTTTTTTAAAAATAAATTAAATAACAACGAATTTTGTATGCGGCTAACCACACCATCTGGCATGACAAAGTAACCCCTATAAAACCGATCGCGTAACCCCTGTAATACTAACTGAGTAACCTCTAACACTGACTAAGTAACCCCTATCTATAACACTGATTGAGTAACCACTATAACACTGACCAAGTAACCCTTATAGCACTAATGAAGTTACTCTGATCTTGTAATAGTGGTGACACGGTTTGGCCAGCTATGCATAAAAGTTTGTGACTTAATATATTATAAATGGATCGATCTTATTTTAAAGAACTTTTTAATACGAATTTGATGATGGAATTAGAATTGAGTTATAGGATAAGTGATGATTAATATTGTATATATGAAACATTAGAATTTTATCGATAATAAAACTCTATGCAACAATTTTATCTTAAAAAATCTATCCAAAAATCTCTACTTAGCATCATATGTATCACAATAATATCTATTTGTTGCCTACGTGGCTCGACACTTGGCGAAAAACTAGAATGCCAAATGTCGTTGTCTCGTGGCCCTGCGAGACCGGCTTTATTTATTAGTGATATGATATGATATGATACCATACGTGCCCCGGGCTTTGCCCTGAATACCCATTTTAAAGAGTGTACCTATTTTAAATAAGTTAATTATATTCATTCACTTAAGGTCGAACGAAGCAAATTAATATTTTAGATACTAGATATAAGATAATAATTTTAGATACTAGATATTGATGTTCAATAATGATTGGAAAAATATATTTTAATTGTACAAGTATTGAAGTAAATGTAACTAATTTAATCTATATTTATATTTTATTAAATAATTATTATTATAAAAGTTTATTTATAATATACATATAATAACCCGGGGCATTGCCTGGGCCAAAAATTAGTTACTTTAATATTGTTCAATGTACACACAGTTGTACCCAAAAGTTTTTAATGATTAAAATGCTCTCTCACATGCATTCCTCTTTCATTGTACCCGTTGTACTTTTATTAAAACTAGGGCGGCTATGGTTCGTCCATATAGCTAGTCATGTTCGGAGATCTCTTTCAGTTTGACCTTATATCATAAATTTTGTTGTTAACAACATCAATAAGGAAAAATATGTAAAAATAAATTAGAAAAAATTAGAGGTGTAAGTGTCCGTACACTATACTTAAGGTTTCATAAAAAAAATAAAAAAAATAAAAAAAATCCAACTAACATTAATGGGGGAAAATAAGTAAATAAATATTTTAAAAAGTATAATTGTTCAAACAATATTCATAAGAGTTACTTTTAAAAAAGTAGAGATAAATACTTCCTACGTGTTCTTTTACATGCAACACCACTATTTATATACTCCACTTTGATCAGTTTTGATGATTTATAGTTAAAGGAAGTATAGTAATGTAGAAACTTACTAGATTTATTTCAGTTTATGCCTTGTTAATATCAAATTTTAGTACTTTCGTTACATATTATGTGCAACTTTTGAATTTTTGCAAATAGTTTTGAATTAATATCAAGTTTGCAAATAATATGTAATGGATGTAGTATAATTTTTGCATATTAATTTTAAAAGCTATTAATGATTGAAATAATACATTGACATGCGTGTAATGAAAAGTGTTGCATGTTAAAGAAAACATAAAATAAAAAGTATAATAAAGAGCAAATACAACCTTTCTTCTTAGGTCTGAAGAATAGAGAGAAGTTTGTCTGAGGAGTTCAGTAAAGCTGAGAAAAAAGATGAAGCTGATGAAAGTTGCTTGTTTTGGTAATCTTCTTCACCTTTCTTCTTCTTTTCATTCCTTTTTCCTATTTTCTCGTTTTCGATTTCATTCTAATTTCCATTATTTCTTTAATTATGCATCTTCTACCACTCAATTTCATTCTGTTGATGTTGATTTTGATGACCCCAAATTGTTTCTCAAATTTGTTAGACAACAATCCAAATTAGGGTTTTCTGATGTTGAAATCCCCCTTTCCCATTTCCACCATATGAAATCGATGCGACCTCTTCCATCTATCATTGATTTCTGTATGTTATTGAGTGCCATGTCCAAGATTAAACCCCACCCCCTTTCTCCACTGTCATTTCTCTTTACAGGCACCTCCTTTTCTTAGGTCTTCGTCCAAATATTTACTCCCTTACCATCCTTGCCAATTGCTACTGTCGTTTGAACTCTGTTGATTTGGGGTTTTCTGTTCTCGCCAGCATTATTAAGCTTGGTTTTCAGCCTAATATTGTTACTTTTACTACTCTCATCAATGGCTTCATTCACTCTAATCAACATAACTCCTGACATTCAGACCTACAGCATGTTGATTGATATGTATTGTAAAGATGGCAAGGTTGGTGAAGCACGGGACATTTTTGTTCACATGACTGAGAGAGGATTTGTTCCCGATATCATCACTTACAGTGCTCTGTTAGATGGATATTGTTTACGTGGTGAGATGGATGAGGCAGAAAAGCTTATGGATTTGATGGTTGAAAATGGTTGCAAACCTAATGTAGTTACTTACAGCAGCTTAATCAATGGCTATTGCAAGGCTAAAAAGATTGACAAAGCTCTTGGCCTGCTCCAAGAGATGCATTTTAACGGATTAGCCCCTAATGTTATCACGTACAGCACTCTTATAGATGCCTTGTGCAAAGACAATCAACTCAAGCTTGCACACCAGTTTTTCAAGGAAATGGAAGCTCATGGACTAAAGCCAAATGTAATCACTTGGAACTCATTGCTTGATGGGATGTGTAAGAATGGACAAATAGATGAGGCAATCGTAACAATGAAGCAAATGGAGAGCACTGGAATGGTCCCTGATATTATTACATACAGTATCCTAATGGATGGTTTTTGTGAAGCTAATCGCCTTAGAGAAGGGGTGGATATTTTCACTTCTCTGCCCGCAAAGTGCTTACAGCCCAATGTATTCAGTTATAATATTATTGTAAAAGGATATTGTAAAGAGGGTTTGCTTGATGAAGCTACTAAACTTGTACAGGAAATGGAAGACAACGGGTGTTCACCTAATGAGTGTACCTACAACACTATAATTAAAGGATATCTTTATGGCAAGGATGTCAGGAAGGCATTGGAACTAGTCAGTACCATGAGAATTAAAGGGTTTGCTGCGGATGCTCACACGGCTTCTCTATTTCTTAGCTTCATAACTGATCATGCTGTTAGCGACTCAGACAAGGCTTTGCTTCGAAAGTATTTTGAGATATGAATTGTAAGGTATTTGGCTTTTGATAATTTTAAATTATGGTTTATGTTTAGATCTGCTTCTCTGGTTATCTATAGTTTTATATGATATGACGATGTTACTACATTACTTGTGCTGAGGTTGAAATTTGACTTATGGTTATGGTTATCTATAATATTAGTGGAGTATTGCAGTTGGAGGCTTACTAATATCATGTATCAATTTTTTTTTTTTTTCAAGTAATCGTTGCATCAAGCTTTTAATACTTTTTGAAGTCACATTTGGCATGTCTCTTCTAGTCACATTTCCCTTCCCCCCCCCCCCCCACCCTTGGTTTCCGTGGTTATGCTTTCTTCCATACTAAGGGTGAAACTATAAGTGTTGAGGCTATAATTCCTGATATTAGTAATTTGCATAAGAGATGCAGTTTCCCTAGCTCCTGATCATGGTGAGTAATCAGTAGATTGAACAGAGTTGTATGAGATGGTGTGCTTAAATTACCTTTTATTCAGTCTTGTAATAATCAGCCTGTGATTGATTTTTAGCTAATGTGAAGTCTTAAGATACAAATCTACTTTTTTGACCTGGTTGATATGCCCAGCTAGCTCTGTCCTAAGAGATTTGTAGATCATTCAAAGACTGAACTTGCTGTTAGGAATTACTCCTACTAGTACAAATTCTAGTACTACGAAATTGTGGGAATAAAAAGAAATTACAATGTATAATTACAATCAACTACACACACAATCCAAGCACTAACAAGTTTAGAATGAAAAATTACAGAAAAATACAAACTAAACTACAAGTATGAAAGATAATCACTTGCCTTACTCCAAGCCAACGAAAACAAGAACATGAGAATGAGTATGACCACGTGAGTCTTCCATACTTGATACTCGTCTAAGGCGTGAATACACTTTATTATTTCCCCCACAACGGTGCTTGGGTTGAACCGGAAAGTCAATTTGAGATACAATAGACGACACTACGATCTTTGCACTAAGATTTGTAGTAAGATGATTAAATTCTCAAATGCAAACTTAATTGATAGAGAATTTCAAGAAGAGATTGCAAGTTTCTTCAAAGAAAATGTAGAAAAGAGAGAATATTGGAGAGGAGAGTAAAACTCAATTCCTTCTTTGTAAAAACGAAACTCCTTTAATTAAAAAAAGTAAAACTCAAGGCGGCGCGGGCGCGCCGCGCGTGCCTCCCAAAATCTGCCAGAATTTTGCCTCGTTCCAGAGGATAGGTGCAATTTGACACGCTTAAATTGCGGGCCGCGCCTACCTTGCGCGGGTGCGCTTAATATGGGCACGGGTGCTCCACACGACACTCTAAATTATCAACACTTGCTAAATTATAGAGCAGTTCTTTGCCTTATCGTGAATATCAAGATATTCTATTACTAGGCTTTTGCACATTAGCTGAATGGCTTTCAGTTTATCATATAATTTGTTATTGTATATTTTTGGATTTTATTCTGAACAATCTTTCAGACCTAATGTATCACATGGGTTTTAATCTTCTCAGTATGCTTGAGTGTAGTTCAACGAAATATGTGGAGTTTTAGGAAAGAATGCTCTGCTAGCTTATATTTTATGTTTTGTTGTTTCGTTTTCTGAGGTATTGAGGCTCTGATCATAAGCTAGGAGGCTGTTGATTATGGATGATGTTAATTGGTCTCAGAAGTTGGAACTAAATGTAGCAAGGTAGTCATATACTCATATTATGACTTTTCATTCTTTTGGTTGCTTGGATGAGTTGGATCATTCTAGCATTTCTCTAGACTTGCATTTTTGTATACGATCGTATTCATCTCCTTGCTATTTGTAGCACAAATTGAGGAGCCATAGCTTTGGCAATAGCTGGATTTGTAGCATGATAATCTAGCAGTTGCAATTAACGATTCTTTATTGTCATTGCAGATTACAACACCAAGTCCATCTTTAGTTATACATTATATCCCTTTTTTTTTCATAACTATAAATCACAAAGCTAGTCAAACTAGGATTTGTGAATAGTGTCAAAGTCAAAACGTATCAATTTAAAAAACGTTGGAAGTATCAAGTTTCATACAGTAATTTCTTCGCTTATAAAAATAGAGATATGTGCGTTTTAAGGCTTGTTTTGAAGACCGTAAAAAGTCAAATGGAACAAACTATTAGGGATAGAGGGATTGGATTTTAGGGGGAAACTCTTCCCTTCCTCCTCACTTATATTATAATTGAGATTGCACTGACAATATCTATGCTATAATAAAACTACAGAAACAAAATAGATCAATCAACTGAAATTCATTATAGTTTGTGGTTGAATTAATACTTGATGTGAACAACTATATAAAAATCACATCACACAAACAAGTTGTGAGTTGTAACTGATTAATTTAGATCTTTCATTAGAAGCAACAATAATAGGAGCACATTTATTCATAGAAGTGATTAATTTGAAAAGCAAGCATGCAAATCAATTATCTCCTGCATTCTTCTCAAGGCTAACAATCCTCTCATTAATCTCCTTTGAAGTCTTACGAGCCAGCATACAAAGATCCATGGTATCCTCCAAATTCAGCCCTTCAAGGTTCCTTGTCCCATTAAGACACTCATACATGATGTTGTTAATCTCCTTCTCCCTGTTATTTTTCTTCAGCTTCTCCAACAGTTGTTCTGCTTTCGCGATCCTTTGCTTCAGGTATTTCTCCTGATCAAGCATCTTCTTCCCTTGATCGTCCTGAGAAAGATTCTTGAATCTCTTGAGCACACTATGTGCTCCAGCTTGGCTTGGCCAGACCTCAGCACTCGGAGCATATGGACTATAAATGATGGCACAAGCATCCACCCCACATAAGGTGGTTAACTCGCTTACCTTCTTAAACAACCCCTTCTTCCTCTTATTAAAGGTTGCCTTCCTTGCTGAGTCATTGGTAATGAACTCAAGCTTCACCTTGTTCCTAGTCATTTTATTTTGGGTTTTTGACCCTAGAACTCTAGGGAGGTTTTGGGTGTTAAACCAAGTAAGAGGAGTATTTGTGAGTGTGTTGCTCTTGGACTTAGAGGTATATATAGAGGTTTGGAGGGATTAGGGTTATTTTTATTGGCCAACTTTTATAATCTAATTAAGTAAATATAAATAATAAGAATAATAATTCTAAAAGTAGTACTAACAATAATAGTAATATTAATAATTGAGAGAGAATTATTTTTTTTACCGTTTGAGTGATATTCGGCAATCTTTTATATAAGGGAAATGACTGAAGCTTTAAATGGCTTATAATGGATTTTTAATTCCCAAATAAATAAAAGTCTCGTTTCACCATTAGGTTTTAGCTCTAATTAAAAGTTCATATCACCTGTATTAATTAATTTAATTTATTTATGGTATAGCCAGCCATATACAAGACGCGCTGCTTATTATGTATTTCTATCCTAAAATTTGGCAAGAGATAAATGAGACTTTTATTTGAGGACAAGGGAGGATCGAGGGAGATTGAAACTTTGAAAGTATTTACTCAATGTAGCTACATATGTTCTCTATATTAGATAATAATTAGATTAGTGCCCGTGCGACGATGCACGGTAGTAATAGTCTTTTTACCATAATTAATTTGTAATATAATATAAAAATGAGGCAACTCATGTGCAATAAAATACAATGTAAGAAAGATGAAATCATAAGACAAAAATTATAAAAAGGAAATTTTGTAAAAAAACCACCCCTAAATTCACCACTTTTCTAAAAAACCACCCTATTTTTATGAAATTAAAAAAAAAAACCACCTGCGAAACCCAAAACCAGTAGGTATCACCACCCCTACTCTATTCCGTCCTGTTTTCCGACTAAATGATCCACAACTCCACATGTCATCATCCTATTAGCCAAAATTTTGTAAGAAAAAAAATAATTTTTACAAAAATCTCCAACCAGCCCCACGACAACCACCCCCTTCCCCTTCCTTTTCAATCTCGCTGCCACCATCACCTCCATACCTTCCCAACCCCTCTGACCACCTAACTCAGCCTTGTGATGCCAGACGACCACCCCACAGCTAGCCTCCCTCTCTTCTCTGCCCCCTCCTTTCTCCCACTGTCGGAAACTTCACCGGAATTTTGAAATGGGTGGTAATCTGAGCGGTTATTTAATTTAAGGGGTGGTAAAATAAAAATAAAAATTAAACGGGTGGTTATTTCAAAAATAGGTACATTTTTGGGTGGTAATTTACAAATTATCCATAAATTAATTCTACACCCATATTGCCAATTTGTATACCCTTTAGATTATATTTTACATTGACACTAAAAAAGATCTTTAATTTTGAGCATGAAATAAAATTGAGAGCAAGATGAACACTTAATAAAAGTATAAAACCACTAGAAATTAAATATCTTATAAATAGTTCATAATTTTTAAGTATCATACTCCAATCCATACATATTTATTAATTAATAGGGACATTGCATATAAATTAAAATCACATAACAAACAAGTTGTGAGTAAAACACATTTAAAACAAACAAGATAGAAATGGATCCCTTTTTTAAATAAAGCACAATAATTTATTTTCCCTCAAATAATTAATTTGACATTCATGCATGCATGCTAATCAATTATTATCAATTCCTTCATTAATCTCAAGGCTTTTAATTTCAATTTCTTCATCAACCTCCTTTAACATCTTATTAGCCATCAACATAACATCTCTCCTATCCTCCAAATTCAACTCTCCAAGGTTTCTTACGCCATTCACACACTCATGCATGAGTTGAGTGATTTCCTTTTCCTTGTTATCTTTCCTTAGCTTCTCCAAAAGTTGTTTGGCTTTCGCGATCCTTTGCCTTAGATACGCCTCTTGGTCCAACATTCTCTTCTCCTGATCCTCAGCAGTGGCGGAGCCACATTAGAACAAGGGGGGACAGTTGTCCCCCCATTTTCGGAAAAAAAGTTTTCTTAAAAAAAAAAAAAAAAATCAAGAAAATACAGTAAAAGGCTATAAATAACATATACTTACAGTAGATATCACAATATTGAATATGGTTTGGTGGTTGAGTCCTTAGTAAGGCTGTGTTTTGGTCCTAGGTTCGATTCCCTACTCTACTGTTTTTCAGCTTTTTTGTTTTTTTTTCCCCTACTTCTTGTTTTTTTTATTACATACTCTAATTTTCAACAACCTTTTTAATTTGATTTTTTATTTCCTATTTCTTGTTTTAGGATTTTTAATGTTATTTCTTATTTCCTACTTCTTGTTTTTAATTATCGCTTTAACTAAGTGTGCTTAAACTCAATTTTTTTTTTACATTTCTAATAAATAGATTACTATTAATTAATTGTTTGTAACTGTGTTTTAACGAAATACATATTAATAATATGATTGATTTGAAAAAGTTGAGTTTATTTTTTCGAATGTAACTCAAACCCTGGCCCTTCATACCTACCATCAATTTGTTTTAACGATAATTATTTGACTTTTTATTTATCAATTATGTGATTACATAACAGGATTTACAAATATAAATTTATTCATTTTTGTTGGATAATTTTCTTAATATACAATAAAACTTTTTTACCCCTCTTTTTCCATATAGAAATAATTGGCATATGTGATTTCAAATAAATATTAAACAATTTAGGTTATCAATTTTTTTCTTGAGATTTTTGCCGAAACTTTAACCTCCAAAATTTGTCCCCCCGAATTATAAATCCTGGCTCCGCCACTGATCCTCAGGGGAGAGGTCCTTGAACCTCTCAAGCACACGACGTGCCTCGGACCGGCTTGGCCATGCCTCGGTACGCGCAGCATACGGGCTGTGAATAAGTAAACAACCTTCCACCGCACATAAGGTGGTAAGCTCGCTCAACTTCTTTAGAAGACCCTTCTTCCTCTTCTTGAAGGTTGCCTTTCTTGCTGAGTCATTGGTTATGTACTCAAGCTTCAGCTTTTTCCTAGCCATTTTCTTTTGATTTTTTGGCCCTAAAAATTTAGGGAGGTTTTATTTGTGAGTGTGTTTTGCCCTTGGGAGTAAGGGTATATATAGAGGTTGGACTGTTGGATAGAGAGTTAAAGCATTGTTTTCATTGGCCAAATTTTAAAGTGTGAAAAACTATGATAGATAAATATTTTTTATAAAATATAAATTAAGTAATAAATGAATAAATAAATAATACTCTTTGGCCCATAGTAATATAATAGCTATTTTTATTTACAACGTCTTAAGACATTCCTTTGACCATCAATATCTTTAATTATGTATTTCCTGTACATTTTAAAGTCATAAATATGGAGTATAATAAGACTGCACATTGAAATGACTGTAACAATGATGACATGACAATGTTCTTTGTATGAGGTACATAATAAATTGCCCAAAAATTCTCATTAAGATATATACTTGTACAAAAAAAAAATAGTATTTTGATGTGTTGTTAATTAACTAGAATTGTCTCTATGTGTAGTTTCATAAAACTTCTATCGACTATTTATAATTACAATTATTGCAAAATTAAAGATATTAATGGTCAAATGTTCGACTTAAAAGTCATACAGATGAAAATAGACAATCTATAATGGGATGGGGAGTAACAATTTAATGCGTAGAGTTAGACACTCAGTACTCTAAATGTGACAATACTTGAAGAGAAAATTAAGTTGGCTTTTAGGTATCCAAATCTTGATTATCCTTAATTGTCATGATTTATTACTATTTTTGTTTTGACACATCATGATTTATTACCTTTTTAAAAAAAAAAAAATCATCATGATTTATTACCTTATATGTTCAAACAAAACAATTTCAAAAAAGGAAATATATCAAAATTTTAGCATTGGTATCATTCAATATTAAAGTTGTCAACATTAACCCAATTTAGATCTCAACTTATATAGGTACAATAATTTAGCATGACTCAAACTTAGGCTATATCAAACCCGACTCTAGTAAGCCTGGCCCATTAACCCTAATTAACACCTTTTGTAACTTGCCAATATTACTGAGTTAGATACGTAAATGGACTATATATTACGGAGTATTTGTCATATCGTTGAAAATTTTAACTGTTTTTAATAAAACAAAAATAGATTCAAAGTATCGTTTCCTATTTGATCCCAGGGCCCAGAAGTGCATGATAAATACCCCCAAAGCCCTATGTATACTAAAATACTTTCTCGGTTCTTTTTTTATTGACTGTAAACTTTTTACAGTAATCACAAACTTCATTTTGACTAATTTTTGTGATTTATATTTTATAAAACAATTGTTATATTTATTAGAATTGTCTTAATGCATATCATAAAATGAACTATTTATATTCTTAATTTATATATAATTAGATATACGTTCAATATGTGTTGTTAACAAATATGATAAAATAAAAGATAAAAATGCATCAAATACATAAAGGCCATGTTTGGTAAATGGCTTTTGGTGAGCTTTTGGCTTTTGGTTTTTTTATGTGGTCAAACAGCCAAAAAAAAGTGTTTGATAATTGGCTTTTCATTCAGTGAAAAAAATGGCTTTCAAGCCAAAATGAAAAAGCTGCTATGAGTAGGTTTCTTTGTTGGCTTTTGGCTTGTTGACTCACAAATTATCTAATAAACAGCCAACGCCCACCAACTAAATTTACTAAACACTTTTATAAACAGCCAGCTTAAACAGCCAATTCCAAAAGCCATTATAAACAGCCAAATATTCCAGTTAATCAAACAAGCCAAGTGAACCAGCCAATCGCCAACAATCAACAACCCTTTGCCAAACAAGGCCAAAATGATGTTGACAAATGACAAACCTAATAAGAGCAACTCCAATGGCAAACTAACTGTAAATTTGTGCTACTTGACTTGCCATGCCATGCCACATAAACTTTTTAAACTAATTGTCATTTTTGCTACTTTGACCTCCAATGGCAAGCTATTAGCTTACTATTTAAATGAACCCCACTTACTTAATTAACTTTTTTATATTTCATTTTATATAATCTTTTTTTGGCAAGTTTTTTTCCCAAGCTAATATAAACCTAATTTGC